AGAATCAAAATATCTTCTTCCCCATTTTGTATTTATTTTTCAAAATCAAAGACAAATAGTTTTTCAATATCAGAATCTAATAAGTTGACACAAGGAACAAATTCTTGTGCATCCTATTTTTTTTTTAATTTTAGGCACGGTCGCTTCAAGGTTCAATCTACGAATCTTTATTAACACTGTTGTAGTCCACAAATAAATTTGGGATGTTAAACATATATAATAGAAAATTTTAATGCAGTCGTAAAAACAGGCACTTGCCTATGAACAGCACCTAGGATAGCTGGACATATGGGAAGCAGACAAGTAATCCCGAAGGGGCAAAATGACCCAGCCTAAAGCATATGGAGAAGACCCGGGAGTGACCTCAGTTGCTACTTCCTGCTGTCTCCTCAGGTACATGTATCAAACAGTCAACGGTGATACCATTTTACCAAATCTAAGACCTGCTCTGGGGGAAAATAGGAAAGGAGAAACAAAGGAACTGAAGAACAAGAGATAGTAGCCATTCCCAGAAGAATTAACATGAAAATAGTATGAGGAAATAAAATTAAGAGGTACACATTAAGAATGGCAAATACAGACGCAGATTTTTTTAATTCCTTACAGGCACTATACAACATATAGCATACTCTGAAAATTTTTTGAGTTATGAATTTGAATCATAACACAACTGAATGAGTACTGACACAGGAGCTAAAGACTCTTACATTCAATTTCTGCCTTTATTATATTATGGTCATGTAGCCTTATCAATCTCTCTGGGCTTTAGTTTTCTCACATGTAAAACGAAAGCTGAGATTAAATAATTGCTAATGGTCTTTCTAACAACTTAAAACATCTTAAAAAACCGTGCTCCTATCTTGCATAAACATTAAGAAATAAAATTACAGTGTCTATGCTGATAATTTCTATCAAAAAAGAAATTAAAATATAGTAAGTTTATCAGAGAAAATTACAATGCTAGGTTTTAACTAAATTTCTGGGTTCTCTTGAGAATGTGGAACACTTTCTATTGCTGCTAAATATCCTGCACATAGTAATCAGCTACAATTAGAAATTTTAAATGCTTCACTTTCTTCTCCATGGTAACAGGATATAGTATCATAAAGGTTCCCCGAAGTTTTCACCTGTTGTCTCCTTCTGCCTGCTGTTTCAGGACACATCACCTTCACAGACACATTAGCCAGGCAGACATAAAAGCATATGGAAATCCTGAGTCCACTGCACAACTTACTACCTTCAATTAAAACTTTAGAGAGGACAAGAGGCTAAAACATTAAGATCAAAATAGAACAAAATGGTAATCTGGATACGTGTACAGTTAATTATAAATATCCAAGGAAATCCTGCTCATCAATACTATGGATAAGATTCTTTTCATTAATTCAACAAATATTTACGTAGTGTCTACTATGTTTTTGGTACCAAGAACACAATAAAAAGCAATGATAGAAGTGGTTCCTGCCTTCATGAAACCAAGAGATAGTAATAAAATAATCACACAAGTGTAAAACTGCAATCATGTTAAGGTTGTTCTTTGTTTTACATTTTTAAAAATTCAGAAGTTCAGGAAAAAGAACCATGATTCATTTTTAAGTCTTTAAAATTTCAAATAAAAAATTTGTCATTTCCCTTGGTACTAATGATGAAATCCTATAACACTGAAGTTTTGAAAGAACAATCAAATCAGTAATCTCCAGTTAGTCTTAAGAAAACTTCATATTGTTAAATTCTAAGGTAAGAAACTGCTTCATAAATGTATTCAATAGCTCAAGATAACCTGAATCTATATACACCTCCTAATATGAATGAGTCATTTTATATACTGGAACACTTTAACTGGATATAAAGAACACTTAAAATTTATGAGAGACTATCCAATCTTCATATACCCCAAATTCTTTGGAAATATATAAAGAGGTTTCTGGCTTTTGCCTGAATAATACTTCTATTAAGTCCATGTCAGGTCCTGTTGGTTTCTTTACATCACAGATTAACCATGTTTTCAATGTTCACTAAAGGTTTTTCTCTATCTTTCACCTGATGAACAATTTTTCTACTGCTGGAAACATTTACTGACAATCTTGCAGTGCTAACTTCACATCCTACTCCTATGTTATTCAAAACATTTTTCAGAATAAAAATGATCATCTTGTTAGCCATCTGCATTTTCATTAGTAGGAAGAGCTTCACGTATTCTGAAATTTTCAGTGCTAATTTTCATAAAGATATAATTTTAATCATTAAAGAAGAGTTCCTGTATATACCCATATCAGCAGGGGATATAAATCTGAATTGACTTTCAAAACCAGAAAATTAGGTAGGCTAATGTTCTACCTACATGTTTTCCTTCAAAACTAGACCCCCACAATATTTCAGTTGAATTCCTCACACAACAAAATTATAGATTATTACACATTCACAAGTCCCTCATAAGAATACTCAAACTCATGAATATCAAAAGCATAGGACACTCTAAATACGTTAATAAATCACATACAGAATAGGCCAAAAGTCTTCATTTCAGAATAGAAAATATTACACATTAAAGTATAATGATAACTTTGGCACACTAAAATACCTCAATGCATACAAACCTTTAAAGCCATCAGGATACACATCAGAAAGAAATTTAGTGTTGATGTCTCCTTTTATAAAGCGTGAGTTGATTATCACCTCTCGAAGTAATGCAATATTATGCGTAACACCTAAAAATAAAATCATATAGGACTGAATTAGAGAACAATGAGCCAGTTAAATATCTAACTCTCATTATTTGGAGAAAATGGTCACCTGTGTGCTATGGCCTGTAAGAACCATGCAAGATTACTCACCTCCTTGACTTCAAGTAACAAAAAAATGTCCAAATTTGAGGTAGTAATAAAATGCTAATGTAAACTTGAGCTTGTGATTGTCAAATCAATTTAACAGGGAAAATAAATGCCTTTTTAATAAGTAGTACTAGACCAACTAGATACCCATTTGGGAAAAAAAGAAAATGAACCTCAACCCTAACTCACACCACATACAAAAAAATTAACTCAAATTGTATCACAAATCTAAATGAAAAAACTAAACCTGTAAGACTTACAGAAAATATAGGAGAAAAATATGATAACTTGACACAGGCAACAAATTCTTACATAGTACACAAAAACCATGAACCGGAAGAAAACCAACAAATTTTACTTCACCAATATTTAAAAGTCCACTCCTCAAAGGAACACAGTTAAGAAAATGAAATGGCAAGCCATATAGTGAGAGAACATATTTCACAACACATGTCAGACAAAGAACTTGTATCTGGAATATAGAATACTTGTAACACAAAAATAAGATGACAAGCCAAGTTAAACAAAAATGGGCAAAATACCTGAACACACATTTCTCAAAAGAAGGTATACAAATGAAAAGATGTTCAACATCATTATCATCAAAGAAATATGATGACTCACCCCCTGTGAACAGTAAAATGAAATGCAGGCCAGGCATTTTTGAATGGAGCCGAGAGACCATTATGAGTTTGGGCCAAAGGCACATCTGCACTGGATGGATCCACATGCTTTGAACGGGGCCAAACTGCAAATATCCCAAGACTCTGCCCGAACACCTGCCACGTGCTTAGTGACAGTCCTGCCAACCAATTTCAGAGGTTCTAAGGTTCCCAGTCTTTTGGTTATATCAATTCCAATCCTATTCAGCCAAGATTAGTTTTTTGCCACCAACACCAATCAAATTCTTGGCAAACAATGTATACAAGCATTTCATTTTGTCTTCAAAAGCCCCTCAGTCTTGTTCCCTAGTGAGATACAGTTTGGGCTGCTACCTGAATCTGTGGTCTCTGAATTTCAATTCTAAGACACCAAATAGATGCTTTTGTTTGACATTAGCTCTGCCTCTTTTCTCAATCAACACCCCAAATACCAACTTAAGTGTCTAAAGGTTAAAATACAGATAATACCAAGTGTTGATGACGACGTGGAGCAAATGGAACTGTCATACCTGTGAAGGGAATATAAACTGGTACAAACACGGTGGAACTACTTGACAGTTTCTTAAAAAGCTGAACATACACTTGCACATATAATTCAGACAAATTACTCCTAAATATTTACTTACCCAAGCTAAATAAAAACATATATCTACACAAACACTTAAACACAAAGGTTATTAGCTTTATTTGCAACAGTCAAAAACAATATAAATGTCCATCAACAGGTGAATGGGTTAACACAATGTGGTTTGTCCATAAAATGAAATTCTATTCAGCAATAAATAGAAATGAGTCACTAATACACACAAGCACATATCTCAAAATAATCATGCTGAATTAAAAAAGACCAAAAATAATGCACATAGTATGATTATATTTATGCAAAATTTTAAGTTATTAACATTGGTTGGCTCAGAGATAAGAAGTTATATTGAAAAGTATGCCCTTCTCCCCGTATGTATACACTAAGATACACGTATGACATTTTCTCCTGGGAAAATGGCCAGGCTGCAGACCAAAGCTGGGGTGTGGACAACACAGATAGAGAAATGAGGCTGGACTTGAAAGAGACTTGGCAGACAGATAGGACTGGATTCAAGAATGGGGAAGTTGAGTCGAGCACAACATCTGAACTTCCGGTTCTGCAATGTGATAGAAGATGCCATTTACAGAAAAGCAGCAGATTGAGATGAAAAGTCTGATACATTGTGAGGTTAAATTTGAGATGCCTGTAGGAGGAGGCTGACTGATAATGTCTAAATGATCAGAGTTCAGAGTGCAGGCCAATTAAAATGCATATATACTGAAATATAAAGTCACGGGAGTGGCAATCCACATGAAGGAATCCAAAACAGAGTGGGAAACAAAAATTCAAAACAAAATGAGCAATAAACAATTATTCATATATAATAACTGCTGTTTTGGAAAAAACAGTATCTTAAAAAAGGAACTGGAAAGGATGAAAGTTAGAAAATCAAAGTATAGCTGTAATTTTATTTCTGAAAAAAAGTGTTAGATACAAATTAACAATTCAGAATGTTTCAATTTCCAAGCTTTTTTGCATAAGTAGTAATGTAGAGAGGCACCCTAACTCTCAGGGTTTTTGTCCCTTCCTCTTCCAGTCAAATAAAAATAATACTGTTCATTTTATATACTTCATATTTTATATTTAACTCTCCTGGCTTTCCTGTTACAGCTTAGTGCTGGTATAAATTTTCTTGCTCTCTGTGTGGCCAATGTCAAAATAGCAGGCATCAGACTCTGACTTAAATAAAAAATGACACAGCTTTCAGAAATAATGATAGTTTGGAAAAAATCAGATTATTTTCTGATACCAGTGATCAATTCATGACTGATGACATCCAAAAAATTAAAATGTCTGCAGTTTTACAGGATAAATGATATGTTGCATTTTAATTCCATACTAGAGGTTGAAAAAGAGGTGCTTGTTTTAGAAAATGTAGCTGAAAGGAATTATAAGCAAACATTAATTTACATTTTGGATATCAAGAACAGAGCCACTCAAGCACACAAATGAAGGATGGACTTTAAAAAATCTTTCAGCTTGAATAGTAAATAGAGCATGAAAATATAGACTTTTTTCTTGCTAAATGATGTTTCAGGGATAAAATGAATACACAAAGGCATTTTCTCTTTAATATTCTCTGAATAAAATATTACATGTTACTATGCAATATCAAATCACTGTTTTCCTTTCCTAAGGACTGTAAAGTGAAGCAATGGCAAATGGCAGACAACCAAAATCAAGGTGCCTCAACCAACGGCCCCCAGAATGACCAAGCATTCATTCATTGTAAAGTCAAATGAAAATAATCAAAAAATAATTTATACCTAAAAGCTCAAAAGAGCACATAAATGGGGAAAAAATTATTGAACTGTTCTAAGATATCCTACACATGTGAAAGTTACTATTTTGTACGTAGTTTACTTCCTCCCCATTCCAGGAAAGACAAAACTACTGAAACTGATCTTTGTTCAAAGAAGCGGCAATCACAGGCTCACCGAGACTTCGTTTATAACTTTAACAATAATATTAATCACATAGTCATAAAAATTATGACTCTGAGTTTTAGACTGGGACTTGAAGATGCCCTCTGCCAAAGGTCACGAGGTGCCATATGTATGGGAAATCACGACCGGGAGAGGACCCCGCGGAGCAGCTTTCTCCTGACTACCTGCTGCTTCCCAAACACTGGCCAGACATTAGCTGCGCACACTGCCAGGATCAAACAGGGGCCAGAAGCCACTGCTCATTTCATGGGGGCTCAGAAATTAACTTCAACCAAATTACATTTTTGCTCAAAAGATTCTTTAATCTGAACAAAAGCTCAAAATCAGCTCAGGGGAAAAAAAAAGTCATTTTGAACAACTATGTAGTTCTTCCCTTTCTGTCCTTCATAAAATTAATTGTTTCACCCACTCCTCTCTCCTTCGGAATTAGTCGGATGGATAAAAAAGCAGCACAAATCACAAAAGCGCCCGTTTCATTCCTTAAATGTTAGTGTGGGGGTGGAGGGAAGTTCCTCTTCACCTATTTTCAAAATTTTTTATTTTGGAATAATTTCAGAACAATAAATTCACAAAAATAGTACCAAGCATTCTTGCATATCCTTTACCCAGATTCTCCAAAAGTTAATGTCTTACCACATTTATTTATCATTTGTTTTCTCTCTCTCTCTCTCTCTTTACGGTTACACACACACATAATTTTTTTTCTTAGATAAGTGAAGGTAAGTTGCAGACAAGATACACTTTGCCTCTAAATACTTCAGTGTCTATTTCTTAAAATCAAGAAAAGTCTCTTGTGTAATCACAGTACAATGACCAAACCTGAAAATTAACTTTGATAACAGTATCACAGTCTAACCTACAGATCTAATTTAAATTTCACCAACTGTTCCATTTACAACCTTTACTACAAAAGAAAATCATCATTTTCAGGTTCAGGAATTAATCCAGGATCACACGCTGCATGTAGTTGTCATGTGCCCTTAGTTTCCTTTGAGCTAGATACGGTGATCCACTCTTCTTTGTGTTTCTGGAGCATGACGCACTTTTGAAGAGTACAGCCATTTGTTGTGTACACTCTCAGTCAATTTGGTTTGTCTGATGTTTCCTCATGAATATATTCAGGTTATACATTTTTGGCAAGAATATCATAGAAAAGATGTGCTCCCTTCAGTGCATGATACCAAGAGATGCATGATATTGATTTGCCTCATTACCAAAGATGTTAATTTTGATCACATGGGTAAGCTGCCAGGTTTGTCCATTTTAAAGGTACTGTTTTTTCCCATTATAGTTAATTAGTATTGCCTGGGGAAACAATGAAACTACACAAATCCCTGTTTCTCAAATTTCTACCCACTAATTTTAGCGCCCATCTTTGATGAGTCTTACCTAAACAGTTTGGTTTGCCACTTGGGATTTTTCTACATTTATTAGTTAAAAATCTACGTAAGGAAGAGCTGTGCCTCTTCCCTCATTTACCTTTTGTATCTATTTATGCCACTTTGGAACTCATATAGACTCTTATTTTATTCCATGGATCTTAATCAATCACTAGCATTATTTATTTTGTAGCTGAAGTTTTCCCAGACTGGCTATTGGGAACCTCTTAAAGTCGTCTCCTGTGTCTTTTGACTTACCATTTTTTTGAGCACTTCATGACTGAGTTAGTTATACAAGATGTTT